AAGCTTCCAAGCCTTTTGAAAAGGCCTGCCCCTTCTCACCCCCACCCTAGCCGCCGAATCCAGAGGAAGCGCAAAAGGGCGCCGAAACCGCCGCCCTACGGACCTCTTGCAGGGCGGGTCCCGACCAGCAAATCTCGGGGCAACTCCAGCCGCGACTGCCAGGGACAGGCCCGCTGCGATCTCACCCCCCAACCTCCATTGTCGAGTGACGCAAAAGGCGCGGAAACCCCAGCCTGACGGTCGACATCCCACAGGGCGCATCCTTAGTAGCAATCTCGGGACAACACCAGCCGTGGCTGCGAGGAGCAGGCAGAGGCATCGGCACGCGTTCCTCTTCCTCCTCTGGCCTCCTTTTCCTCCTCCTCCTGTTCCTCTTCCTCCTCCTCCTCCTCCTCCTCCTCCTCCTCCTCCCTCCCTTCCTCCTCCACGCTATCAGCAGCAGCAAAAACAACGCTCGACAAATAATACTTTCCTTTGGCACTGGCAGATGTTCCTCATCTTCCTCCTCCTCCTCCTCCTTCTCCAGAATCGCCAGCCAAACCTGTCCAGAATGCACGTTGTATAAACCACCAGAAGTCTGGACCCCTTCCCGAAGACAGCTGCTTCATCCCGATGCGCTTGTGAACGGTCCTGGAGACCAGGACGACCCCAAGAACCTGATTACGCTACCGAGGAACCCCACATACTTCTAGTATGGCTGGGGTGATGATGTTGGTGGCCGTTGCCCCGCCGATACCGCTGATGACGCCACTCAAAAGGAGAGGTGAGAGAGGAGAAGCGCCGCGCCAGCCACACTTTGCGAGCCCGAAACAGATAGCGACCGCACCCCAAAGGCACCCCCTTGTGGCGTCGAGAAAGTGCCACGCCTGCCACGCTTTGCGAAGCCGAAACGGATAGCGACCGCACCCCTGGCGCACCCCCTGTGGCAACGAGGAAGTACCGCGCCTGCCACGCCTTGCGAGCCCGAAACGGATAGCGACCGCACCCCCAGCGCACCCCCTTGACGTTCCGAAGAAGTGTCACGCCTGCCACGCTTTGCGAGCCCAGAGCGGATAGCGACCGCACCCCCAGCGCACTCCTTTCGGCGTCGAGAAATTGCCACGCCTGCCACGCTTTGCGAGCCCAGAGCGGATAGCGACCGCACCCCCAGCGCACCCCCTGTGGCGTCGAGAAAATGCCACGCCTGCCAACGCGTTGCGAGCCCGAAAAGGATAGCGACCGTGCCCCCAGCGCACCCCCTGTGGCGTCGATGAAATGTCACGCCTGCCACGCTCTGCGTGGCCGAAACGGGTAGCGACCGCACCCCCCACGCACCTCCTGTGGCGTCCAGAAAAGGCCACGCCTACCACACGTTGCGAGCCCGAAACGAATATCGACCGCACCCCCAGCGCACCCCCTGTGGCGTCCAGAAAATGCCACGCCTGCTAGTCTTTGCGGTAGTGTCGTGGACTGAGAGACCACCCCCTGCGAACCCCCTTGTGGTGTCCAGAAAGTGCCACGCCTGCTAGGCTTTGCGACAGTGCCGTGGATAGCGGAGGCGCTGAGAGACCCTCCTGCGCCCCCCCTATGGTGTCCAGAATTTGCCACGCCTGCTAGGCGTCGCGAAAATATCGTGGATAGCGGCCGCGCTGAGAGACCACGCCCTGCGCACCCCTTATGGTATCCAGAAAGTGCCACGCTTGCTGGGCGTTGCGACAGTGTCGTGGATAGCGGCCGCGCTGAGAGACCCACCCCTGCGCACACCCCCTATGGTGACCAGAAAGTGCCACGCCTGCTAGGCTTTGCGACAGTGTCGTGGATAACGGCCGCGCTGAGAGACCACCCCCTGCGCACCCCCTTTGGTGCCCAGAAAAAAAAAAAACAAAAAAAAAAAAAAAAAAAAACAAAAAAAAAAACAAAAAAAATAAAAAAAAAGTGCCAAAAGCCACGCATGCTGGCTTTGCGATCAGTGTCTTGGATAGGCCCGCGCTTAGAGACCCCCCCTGCGCACCCCCTATGGTGTCCAGTAACGAGCTCAGGCTGCTAGGGCTTTGCGACAGTGTCGTGGATAGCGGCCGCGCTGAGAGACCACCCCCTGCGCACCCCCTATGGTGTCCAGAAAGTGCCACGCCTGCTAAGCTTTGCGACAATGTCATGGATAGCGGCCGCGCTGAGAGACCACCCCCTGCGCACCCCCATACGGTGTCCAGAAAGTGCCACGCCTGCTAGGCTTTGCGACAGTGTCGTGGATAGCGGCCGCGCTGAGAGACCACCCCCGCGCACCCCCTATAATGTCCAGAAAGTGCCAACGCTCTAACATTGCGACAGTGTCTGGAATAGCGGCCTCGCTGAGAGACCACCCCCCTGCTCACCCCCTGTGTGCCAGAAAGTGACGCCTGCCTGGCCTTTGCGACAGTGTCGTGCTGGCGGCCGCGCGGTGAGAGACCACCCCCTGCGCACCACCTTCTGGTGTCTAGAAAGTGCCACGCCTGCCAGGCTTTGCGACAGTGTCGTGGATAGCGGCCGCGCTGAGGGACCCCCCCGCGCACCCCCTATGGTGCCCAGAAAGTGCCACGCCTGCTAGGCTTTGCGACAGTGTCGTGGATAGCGGCCGCGCTGAGAGACCACCCCCTGCGCACCCCCTATGGTGTCCAGAACGTGCCACGCCTGCTGGGCTTTGCGACAGTGTCGTGGATAGCGGCCGCGCTTAGAGACCACCCCTTGCGCATCCCCTATGGTGTCCAGAAAGTGCCACGCCTGCTTGGCTTTGCGACAGTGTCGTGGATAGCGGCCGCGCTGAGAGACCACCCCCTGCGCACCCCCTTATGGTGTCCAGAAAATGCCACGCCTGCTAGATGTTTCGACGGTATCGTGGATAGCGGCCGGACTCAGAGACCACTTGCTGCGCAACCCCTATGGTGTCCAGAGGTGCTGTGCTGCGCTGTGCTGTGTAGTGCTGAGGTGTGCTGTGTTGAGGTGCTGTACTGTGCTGTGCAATGTTGTGCAATGCTGTGCTGAGATGAGCTGTGCTGTGCTGTGTACGTGCTGTGTGTCAAGGTGCTGTGTGCTGTGCTGTGCTGAGCTGTGCTGAGCTGTGCTGTGCTCTGCTGCACTGTGGTGCGCTTGCTGTGCTGTGCAGTGCTGTGCTGAGCTGTGCCGTGCTAAGCTAAGCTGTGCTGAGGTGCTATGCTGTGCTGTGCAGTGCTGTGCTGAGCTGTGCTGTGCTGAGCTAAGCTGTGCTGTGCTGAGGTGGGGAGGAAGAGGGGTGTGAGGAGGAAGGTGGTGTGTGAGGGCCGCGGGTGCGACGAGACAGGAAAGAACACCATAACCCCATTAAGCACGTGGGGAAGAAGACGACCTCATTTGAAATTATCCCGGCAAAGCAACCTAAAAGCGATGTGTAGAAGCATATCTGGAATAATTCCCCTTACGATTCAGATGAGAATCCAGTTGTAGAATTCTGCTGTTCTCGCAGTCGTAGTCGCATTCGCGATGACAGTCGCAGTGGCAACGGCAGTCGCAGTCACAGCCTCAGCCTCCGCCTGCCTCAGCCTCAGCCTCAGCCTGCCTCAGCCTCAGCCTGCCTCAGCCTCAGCCTCAGCCTGCTTCAGCCTCAGCCTCAGTCTGCCTTCAGCCTCGGCCTCAGCCTCAGCCTGCCTCAGCCTTACCCTGCATCAGCCTCAGCCTCAGCCTCAGCCTGCCTCAGCATCAGCCTGCCTCAGCCTCAGCCTCAGCCTGCCTCTGCCTTAGCCTCAGCCTGCTTCAGCCTCAGCCTCAGTCTGCCTTCAGCCTCGGCCTCAGCCTCAGCCTGCCTCAGCCTCAGCCTGCCTCAGCCTCAGCCTCAGCCTCACTGCCTCAGCAACACCCCTGCTCAGCCTCAGCCTCAGCCTCAGCCCAGCCTCAGCCTCAGCCTCTAG